AACCGGCGGGATGGGGGGGAATTTACCTCCTCCTGCTGCTTCCTCCTCTGCCTCCTGTGTGGAGGTCCCTCCCCCCCACGAGTATCACGGGTCTCGCCCCCTTGTTTAACATAATCTTCAAACCAATCGTAAAATCTTGACCATGTATTTTCAAATTTAGTCTCTAGTCATCCTTTAAAAATTAAAGTTAATTTGTCCACTGGTGTTTTAACTGATCCTGATAGGACAGCTGCTGTAGTCCTCTGATAATTTTGGTTGTTCTTTTCTGCACCTTCTCAAGCTCTACAATGTACAATATTCCAAGTATGGTCTCACCATGGATTTGAATAACGGCATTATGATACTGGCTGTTTTATTCTCTGTTCCTGCAGAAACCACGTTGGTTTTCATTTAGCAGAGCTTGTCCTTCTATATGCTTGACAATTTGATCTTTAGTAATGCTTTCCATCAATTTACCTGGAACAGACATTCAGCAAACCAGCCTGTAATTTCCTGGAGCCCCCCAAATCCTTTTTTAAACATGGGAGCTACATTGGCCACTCTCCAGACCTCTGGTACAGAGGCTGATCTTAAAAACTTGTTGCATATTTAAGTTAGAAGATCAGCAATTTCACATCTGTTCTTTAACAACTCTGGAACGGATACCATTTGGTCCTAGTGATTTCTTAGTTTCCAATTTGTCTATATATTCTAGAACTTCCTTGTCACCACTGTTTGCCTAAACTCCACATCCTTCCCTCCTGAAAACATTCATTTGAGAAAACGTATTTGCTTCTGTCTTCAGCAGTGAAGACAGAGGAGATGAATTCATTTAGCTTCTTAGCAATCACCTTATTACTGCTCCTTTAGGATCCAAGGTGTAGCTGGCATTTTAGTTTTAAGTACAAACAGGTTTGCACTAATAATTGTTTGTGAAACTGAGAATGAAATATTTGCAAGCTTTGTTTGCTGTATGAAGACTGATTATTTTGACTAGCTTTTTGCAGCTCTGATTGACAGAGTCTGTGGGGACAAACCTCCCTGCTAGTTCAGCTTTGGGCTCTCTCCAGGCCAAGGGAAGCCATGGCCAGCAGAAAGGAGGGGCGAAGTCTGTCTTAGGGGGGCGTTTTACCCACTCCTTTCTGCTGGCCATGGATCTCTGCAGCCAGCAGAAAGGAAAGGGTGAAGAGAATCCCAGGGGGTACTTCACCCCTTCGGTTCTGCTGACTGGAGAAAGCAGCAGCCAGTAGAAAGGAGGGGGTGAAATGACCCCTGGGAGGCACTTCACCCCATATTTAACCCTCTGGTTTTGCTCCGCCCCCCCTCTTAGAAGCAGCTGGGAAGAAAACCAGAGGGTTAAATGGCTCCCAGCCATTTAAATCTTTCTGATTTGCTCCCCACTGCTTTGAGGGAGGAGCAGAACCAGAGGGTTAAATGGAGCCATTTAAACCCGTGCTTTCTGCTCCCTGCCATTTTCGCAGGGAGCAGAAAACAGACATTTAAACTTTAAATGGCTCATGAACCTATATGAAGCAGTTTAGTTCGCAAACCACCACATGGGCTTCTGTAGGTTCATCGTTCAGTTCATGGTTCAACAATGAACAGAACCACAAACGTCCCTAGGTAGAAATGTGATGGTAAAGAGCTGAGCTGGTAAAATGCGTTGTTCTACTTCAGATTGCAGAAAATAAATTCATTTTAAATGCAACCTGCAAAGAAAAGTTCCTTCAAGGAGGAACCAGGGAGTGGGCCAGGTCCAAAGCCTTTTCCTCATGTTACAGTTTTTTAATTGCAGAATTAAAAAAATAATAATGGTGGCAGGGGTCGTTTCGTAGAAAAAGAGCTAGGGGAACTCATTAGCATATGCCACACCCCCTGATATCACCGGAAGTGTGTAATAAGGCCACACCCCCTGACATCACCGGAAGTGTGTCATAAGGCCACACACCCTGCCCCCAACGGTCCCGGCCGCCGCCGGCCTTGCAGCACCACTGCTGAGCCCCATGAGGGGCCCGGTGGTGGACCTGCAAGGCCGGCGGGAGTACACGGAAGCCCTGCGAAGGCCCTCCCTGGTCCCAGGCAGGCAGGGGTGGGGAGAGGCAGGGAGGAAGCAACTTACCCTCCCTCTTCTCCTGCCTCCTCCTGGCTGAATGAGGGCCGGAAGCGGGGCAGCTGGAAGCAGGGGGCGGGGCTTCGTCATGTGCCCCGCCCCCGTACCTCACCCGGGGGAACTGCGATCCCCAGCGATCCCCCCGAAATGACCTCTGAATGGTGGGAGCATTAACAAATTTGATGCACACCCTTATAACCTGAAGAGACCACATCCATCTTACCTGGTCAGGATTCTGCCACCTCATTCTGTAAACCAGGCTTCAGAATGCATTAATTCTAAAAAAAGATTTTAAATTTCCCTTTAGAAATTTGGCTTTGATGATGAGGAATACGTAATTTTAAGGCAATACTACTGAATATGGCAAATGTGATACTTTTAGGCAATGGATCCCTAGGTTTGATTTTAACAACTCTCTTCTACACATCTACTCAACTCACTGCTTATCTAATGAGTTCTGCTGTTCTGGCAGAAAGGAAAGAGGAAAATCTCTTTTCCTTTCACTCCTTGCTTATGGCATTGTGGTAGGATGATAGGTGAGGAAATGAGAAGGAAGAGAGAAAAAGAGAGATCTCCCTTTTGATGACAGAGCAGCTCCAGGGGGGGGGATTTGGGAACTCATGATAAACTGCTTGAGGAATTTTGCCCTGTCACACTACCGGTTATGTTATTAGGAACAAGACTAGGTGCCGTTTGGTTTGGAATATATGGATGTGTTTTCTCAAGAAGTTATGAACCATTGGATCCAGTTGCATTCCTGATTATTTGATTTGTAATTGGTCCATAATAAACCAAGCTGTTTTCTGATTTTTGGAGGAAAATTTTCCTTGGTTTGTTAAGAATCCAACTGTATATGCCAGTGAACTGCAGATTTATTCCTATCAGGAGATCATATTATCATGTATTTAATTCTGCACAATGGGGCCACAAACAGATAGGGGAGACATTTTTGTGAAGCCCAGGTTTGCATAAATGTCTGATGACTAAAAAAAAAGTGGGATTAAAGCTCTGCCAAATCAGAGAAGCTGTGTCTGTGCAAAGCCTTGGCCACGAGAGGCTCCAGGGAGACCATTTGATGCCACATCCCTCTAAGAGTTGAAAACAAAACAAAAGCTCTGTGATCTATTCTACATTTGTTAAGATGCAGTTTGTGGCAACTGTCACCAAGTATATATTTAAATCTCCATACTGAGATGCTGTATAGATTCCAGGAATGGGATTAAGAGGAGGGTGGAAAATTCCTTTCTTTGAAACTTCATAATGAATATTCAGTTCTATACACATCTGTACATTTTCTGATCAGATTTTATATCTATTGGCATTGTGTGTGAATGAGAATGTCTGGCAGCCACCAGTGGGAGAATGCTTTCACAAGGAGTACCTGTAAGCATCCTCCTTTTTTTCTCTTTTCTGTCTCAGAGACAGGGTGCTGGAGCAGCAAATGGAAAAGACAAGACATCTGGTGAAAATGGTAAGATCCTGCTATATTATATTTTACTATGAACACTCCTAGGGTCAAACTAGATGTGATGGGCTGAGTCGCATCTATTTGTTACCTTTTCATATGTAAAGAGAGTCTATTGTTATTGTTGTTGTTGTTATTATTATTATTATTATTATTATTATTATTATTATTATTATTATTATTATTTACAGTAATGTGTAGCTAAAGTCTCCTGCTCTTTATGTGTGTGTGTAAAGTGCAATCAAGTTGTGGCTGACTTCTGGTGACCCCAGCAAGGGGCTTTCAAGGCAAGTGAGAAACAGAGGTGGTTTGCCTTTCATTGCCTTCGCCTGCAGTCTCACATCCAATTATAGACCGTGCTTAGCTTCCCAGATCTTATGGGATCAGGCTATACCATGCCACCTCCCTGCCCCAACTCCTTACCTTGCTGAAATCCATTGTCTTCTGCTCACTCCAAGAAGAGCTATTTTTTTTTGTTTTTTAAAAGTTTGATAGCAACTGCCTATGCTGAATGGAGGCTTTTTAAAATTCAAATCTTTTTATTGGTGAGAAACAAACAGCTAGAACAGACTCTGGGTCCTCCTTACACAAATACCAATAGCAGGTCAGGATCATAGTCACGAGGCATTGATTTGCCCCACCTATGTATTTTTTTCCTCTGGAAACAGCTACTATACTTCTCTTCAGCCAGAAGTAGGCTTGTGACTTGACAGCTTCCATGAAAGAATGAGAATGGGGAAACTTCTGGATGATTCAAAGATAAATAGCTGTGGTGCTTCACTCACCTGACCCACCCAAGTCTACCCAGCTGCCATTCCCTCTGGTTCAAGGTAGATTTTTCAAGACAGTTTTCATATTCATGCTTACGTGGTTCTCAAATAAATTCCCCATTTATCTGCTATAAGCCTGGGCATTATTTACTTCAGTTATTTATTTATTGACTTCATTTATAGCCCGTGTTTCTTGTTCAAAGGGGTAAGGGTTAAATTAAGAAAATTATTACTTAAGGACAAAGAACATACAAGTCTGAATTTAAAAATTACTATTTTTACTCAATGTGTATTTCTGATATTACCAAGTCATATATACAAAAGTAGATACAGGCATTGGAAAGGGCTGTCAGCCTCTGGTGAGGCCTGGAGATCTCCTGTTTTTACAACTGATCTCCAGATGACCAAGATCGGTTCTCCAGGAGAAAATGGCTGCTTTGGAGAGTGGACTGTATGGCATTGCACCATGCTGAGGTTCCTCCCATCCCCACACCCTGCCACCCTGCCTCCTCCAGGCTCCGTGCACAAAATCTCCAGCTATTTCCCAACTGATCTGGCAAACCTAGCTTTGGAGCTTGGTGACAGGGTTATAGCCATTTCTGTTGGTTATGAAGAAGCCACTGATTCACCATTCATTTCTAGGCATTGGGCACAAACAGGGTCACATGAACTAAAGTTTGTGATGAACTTTGGACAGTTCATGGTCCATGAAGCAATGTCTGTGGAGGCTCTACCATCATGAATTTTCACAAAGATTTAGTGTGGTTTGTGGTGGTTCATGAGCGGGCAGAGTCAGACTGGCGCCAATCAATTAAACTGTTTACAAAACTCCAAGGCAAGAGTTCTCCAGTCTTGGAAACACCAATAGAAGCCTTCTATAGCTTAACAGGCACTGCTGGCTACCAATAACAGTTCCTACTGTGGTCTATGGGATCAGAAGGCTATATATTGAGTGAACTCTCCTCCCTCCCCCTCTTTTGTTGGCTGGTGAAGCAAAAGAGAGGCATGGAGCTAGCCGAGTTGACTGATTACTTTGCTTTCTGTTTGCTTGATCTGCTGTCTGTTGCTGGGGTTTGAGATTAGGGTGCAGTGGACTCTGGGCTCTGACTTTCAGCACAGGGGTTTAGTTATTGTGCCTTCCCTCCCCCCACCTCTCCTGCTAGTGATCTGTAGGGATGGGCATCAGGCCCATAGCTAGGAAGTTTTTGTTCTGGGGGCATTTTTTTTTTTGCTCATGGGGCAGCCGTTATGTGTATGTACAGAACTGCCAGACAAGTGGTGTATCTTGGTTCTGAAAACCACAATCTAAAAAAGAAGAATGCTGCTTAAAAGGGAAAAAAACCCATAGTACTTAAAAATAAGGCATTTAGAAAATCTAATTTTTAGATATCTACACACACACGGCTACCAGATTTAAGCACAAGGCTTCCTTCCAGCAAAGAGGTCAAAGCTAGAAGATATGCAAGAATATCTGGAAGGGGTGAAAAATGAGTGTGTTGTGCAACAGCCATGATCAGCTGATAGTTATTGCCATTATTCAGAGATCCTCTGAACTAATAAATGGCACACAACACGGGCAAATGAAAGATGATTTGCAACAAATGTACACCTGGCACCTATCTTTGAAGCAAACAAGTGAAACGTCAGGGCATCCCCTAGTGACACAGTTTCTTTAGCCACATGCCAGCTGGGCAGTCAGAAGTGTGAGACCCCTAAACTCTGAAGGCTTTGAACATAGAGGTAGTGGCTGGAGAAGTTGTGACCCAATGGCAGGGCTGAGCCCTCCCACCTCTGTCACCCCCCAAGCCCAGCCCACCTCATTCATAGTATGACCTGGGAGATGGCGATGCTGACAGGCATGCTGTGATCCTTGAAGGCAGTGGTGATGAAGCAGACGAAGGACAGCACCACCATCACGCTCAGCCCCACTACAGAGACAGAGGGAAAGGGGAACAGATGCTGCTGCTGTGGTGTGTGATGTCACGGCTCCTGCTGAGTTCGAACAATCGGCTCTTGCTGAGTCCGAGCAAATGGCCCCAGCAGAGGATCTAAGTGCCGCTGGGGATCAGCTCACGCTGCCAGTAACGTCTGCACCTGACAGGGCTGAGCTTTCAGAAGCTACAGCTGAGGCAGAAGCACGCTGGGACTCTTCTCCTCCTGATTCCCCTCCTCCAGTATAACGGTTAAGGGAACAGCACCAACAGGAGATGGCAGCTAGGCAGCGAGAGGCATGCATGCATGGCAGACGCTCACTCAGCCCCAAGTACTAGCAGGAGCTGGGGCTCGCTGGAGGTGTGCTAATTGTTGACAGGTTTATAGGTTATTTAACTCCCACACTCACACTGACAACTCGTGCCAGCAACTAGTCTCTTCAGACGAAAGCTCTGCACCCTTTGCCTGTGTTCCTGACTCCTTGTTCCTGACTGGATTCCCTCGGCTCTGTGACCTTGGCTTGAATGACTTCGCTCTGACTCTGCACTTTGAACCTTGACTCCTTGGCTCCTGACTCTTTTGGACTCTGGCTCTCTGACAACTCTAACGGTTTGTGATTTGAACTTGATTCCCGGTTAGTTTGCTTGCCTGACTGTTGACTCTGGACTGTATTTTGACCACCCCGCTCTTGCTTAGTGTTTTGGACTTGGTTTTCCCAGCTAGCTTGCTTTACTGGCTCTTGATCTTGGACTGTATCCCGACTGCCTCGCCCCTGCCTAGCCCCACATCGTGACATGTGACAGAGGAGAAAGACAAGGCCTGAACCCACCAGGAAGCGAACCCACCCAGTCAGCTCATGTGAAGAGCCCCACCAGTGTCCCAGCCTGTCCATAGGGAGGATATCCCCTTCCTTCCCCATCTGCTCAAAGGCCTTGTGAAAACCCAGAGCAAGGCTGGAGGGCATCGGGTACTAGAGGTGAAACACGGCAAGCCCACAGAGAACAAAGCCCTGGCTGGGGTGGAAGAGAGGATGACTTGGTCAGGGAAGATTCAAACAGTCAGGGAAGATTTGCGGGCCAGGGAAGATTTGAGGGGGAGCCTCACCCTCAAGGAAACATGATAGTTACAGGCCTGATGGGCATGAACCAAACCACAAAGCAAAATTCATCATGAATTTTGTCCTGTTTGTGGTTTGCTAACAGAAGTTTTTGATGGGTCTACCATCATGAACTTCCATGAACTTGAGAGCAGTTTGGCACTTCATGGTGGTTTGTGGCTGGAGCAGAAATCAGAGGTTTAAAGTCCCTTTAAACCCTGTTTTCTGTTCCCCGAGAAAGCAGCAAAAACAGCTGAGTGGCTGGGAGGTGTTCCCCGCTGCTCATTTGTTTCAGTCTATCTTGTGCAGTCCCTTTAAACTTTAAAAAGACAGCCAAAGACTCCAACTGAACAGTGGTGAGGTGCTCCCTGCTGCTCAGTTGTTTCAGGTTGTCTTGAGCAGTCCTTTTACATTTAAAGGGAAATAATGAAGTATGGGGGCACCTTCTTTGGGGTGGTGTTACTTGGACTCCATAAACCCAATCCGCACTAAACTTGGAAGACTTGTAGGGGAGAGTTAGCCAGAGGTGGTTGGTGAGTTTAGTGTCTCTAGCCCACTGACAGGCCATTCAATATATTCCTGAACCTCCTGAACCTGCACCTTAGGAAAGTGCTTTCTGTGGATATCTTCTTGGGGGGGGGGGTATAACTCAGGCCCTGTAAATCCAATCCTCACCGAACATAGAGGGCAGATAGAGGAGAGTCATCTGGAGATTTGCTGCAAGTTTGGTGTCTCTAGCACACTGCGGGGGGGTTTCTACCATGTCACAAACATCTTGAACCGATCCAGTTCTTATGAATGGGGTTTTGTCTGTGATGATCCATGGTTTGGTTCATGGGTGAACCATGAGCCGAACTGCATTTTTCTGGTTCATTTTTTGTAGCCCCACTACCCCAAAATATTGAAGCTCCACATGGGAAAGAAGGCTCTGTCACAAATTACATGGGAAAAAAAAACCTAATCTGATCATTTGGATGCCATCTGAAAACATGCTGTAGTAGCAAACTACCTGCACTTCTACTTCAGGCCTATAGCATGAAACTTAACTAGTTTTCTTTAACTAAGCAAGACTCTTTTGTTCTAACACATCATATAGCAAACTCACTCTCTCTCTCTCACCGCATTTCTGGAGCTTAATTGAAGGCTGTCATGGATGGGCAGGGGGCAAAATCACCACTGGTTTTAGAACTGAAGTATCATGAAACGCC